TTAAAGGCCATGCATGTAGCGTAGTTAACTCACAGAGCCTTGAATTCTGATAGAGCAGTGTAAAACAAATGGGAACACAGAAGAAAATCACTGAGAGGATTAGCTGCCTTCATCAGGTTAGATTAAATTTGATTTGTGGAACGATCTTGCTGGACTTGGGCCACACTTCCCAATTTAAAAATGCTACATGCTGATGTTTTTTTTAAAATGTCCTAATGACATCTTAAAAACATGTGCTTAAAAAAAAACACTATACAGAGGACAGGACATCCCTGTTGGTTCTTTGCTAGATGTCATCAAATCGATCATTTAAAGGGCAGGGCTCTGGGGTCAGATCGACCTGAGTGTCATGATGATGTCATCTTTCTGAATTAATTTACTTACTGTGCTGGTTATGAGGTGACCAGCATGCATCAGTGATCATACTGAAAAATTGATGTATTTGAATTTAATATTTTGACATAACAATTTTTAAAAATTAACTAGCACTGCAAATTTGACCTTTTTTACTGATCTCACTGAGGCCTCAGTACAGCCTCTGAGCATCTTTCAATCATCTTTCACATTCAAATGACATTTTTTAAAATGTCCAAATCAGTCAGATGGGATATTAAACAGACTTTGCCCCTCCAGCTTCTTGGTGCAAAGTCAGTGCAATGGCCAGTCAAGCCCATGGTCTAGGTAACCGTGCAGAGAAATTACAGCGAGGGGGTGTCATGTGTCCTGCCAGTCCCCATATACTGCCTATTAGTATGAGTGAAACACTTAGGGCCTACTTCTATTGCCTAAATGCTTTATGACTGAAAGGAGTTAGTTAAGATGTCATGTGCCACATTTTTAGGGGTTTCTTCAAACTACTTACAAGCTTTGGAGTCTTCCTTTGAGAGCCTAATCACCCTCGAAAGTAGAACCGGGGTGTCTGCTTCTGGCAGTTATAAGAAAATTATGACAAATAGCATTTGAAAATAGCAATCTAATAGCAGAAGGGAGACAGGCCCAGCTGTCATCCATATTTCTGTGTACTGTTTTTGTCCACTGGACCCTGCGAGGGCCCTCTGACCCAGTGTTTTGAGTTTTCTTATATTTTGATGTTTATGGTTTATGTTTAAGATCATGTAGTTATCTTCAGCTCATTCTAGTTTGCCTAGGTTGCTGTTTTAGTTCAGTGTTTATTAGATTCCCCTTGTGTCTTCGACCCCGGTGTTTAGGTCTCCCTCACCCTTCATCCTGTCTCCTACTCGTTTACATGTTTTCCCTTTGTGACCCATTACTTCTGTCACGTGTGTTTCCCCCCAGCCATCATGCTCTGTTTGTGCTTAGTTGTGTCAGTGGCTCATCCCCAGTCCCCTTTTCCCTCTGTATGTATTTATAGCGCATGTTCCTCGTTGGTTCGCCATGTTAAGTCTGTAGGTCTTAATCTTTCATATATAGAAGAGGCACCTTGACATGCATCTAAAGGACAAAGGTCACTCTTTCGACGATGCCATTGTTCACATATTGAACAGAGAGGACAGATGGTTTGAAAGAGGAGTGAAAGAAGCCATCTATGTTCACTGTGAACGACCATCTTTGAACACAGGCGGTGGTTTAAGACACAAACTGTCTGCCATCTATAATCCAGTTTTGAGATCCCTTCCCAGACGCCTTAACGCCCACTCACATCCTGGGCCATTTGACCTCAGGAAATCACATGATAAGATGAGGCTAAGTTTCACAATTGGTTCACCTGAAACCTTGGCTGATTGTGACCCACACCCATTTTCACACCTTGGCTCATGTGATTAGGTAGAGGATCAATAGGGGGTCCATGACCCTCTTGGGGACCCTCCCATAGGGCTTAAATCTGGGATTCTCCACCAGTTGCTCTTAGAACTGAAGAAGCTTCTCAGATGAGAGGTGAAAGATCTTCAAGGAAACTTAAAGAAGTCCAGACGGTTTTCTTTCCAACCTCCTTAGACTATAAGGCCCTGGATGACTGAGAACCTTCACAGACATTCTGTTATATGTTTCGTGTCTGCGTGTCCTATGTTGTCAAGTTTGTGTTGTCATGTCTGCATCTCATCATGTTTCCTGTTTTATTTTGAAGAGGTCTCGTGTTCCATGTTTAGTGTGTTTAGTTTCACTTCCCCTGTGGTGTCATTATGTTCATTCTAATCAGCTGTTTTCTCATGTGTTTCCACTTCCCCATATCACCCCCTGTGTATATTTAGTCTTTGTGTTTTCATTCATTCCTTGTTTGTTCATCCTGCTGTGTGATTCTATCTTTCAAGGTCTATGAATGGATGCCAAATGTCAGGTTTCTATGTTCACGTTCCAGAGTTTTTTGTGTTTAGACTTCGTTCTCCCAGTTTAGTCTATTGTTTCATTTCGTCTTTGCCTTTTGTTTTTGTTCTGTTTTACCAGCCTAAAATAAACGACTCACAGTTTCAATCCAATCCAATTCAATCCTACTTTATTATAAAGTCCTTTCCAGTAAAAAATAACCCTTATTTAAGATCAAGTTTAGTTTTCGTGTGTCTGCACTTGGGTCCACCTCCTCACTCCACACAGTCGGCTTCTCGGCTAACTGTGACACCCTAAGGTTAGAAATCAGTTTAAATGCCGGGTGGCCGGAAGCGTCAACTGAATAATAGTGTTGCATCGTGTTTATCTGGGCTTATAAATAGGCAAATATCAGTTTAAAAGACAATATGTCAAGGTTGTGTTTAGTGTTTGTTCCTGTTGCCTTCAAGAAGCAGGTAGTTTACTGCTTAAACTACCTGCTTCTTCTTCTTCTTTCGGCTGTCTCCATCTTATCCTATCCTGACCATGTCATACCAACCATCCTCCTTCCCAACATCCATGAATCTTCTTTGATGGACTTGCTCTTTTCCTTGTGCCTGGCAGCTCCATATTCATCATCCTTTGTCACCTAACCCCC